CTCCAGGGCCAGGCAGAACCTGGCGGCCACCTCTGCGGAGGGGAAGGACGTCAGCCCGGAGGGGCTCGGGCCCTGGAGACCCGCTCTGTGCTTTGCTTTGGGGTCGTGCGCCCTGAGCCCCACCCGTACCCACTCCCGGACAAGACACTGCCTGCTCGCCCTCAGTGAGACCCAGCAGGCGCGAGGTTCGCAGAGGACTGCGCTGCCCGCTGACCGCTGACCTTCCACCTGCACCGGGAAGTCCTGCGCCTCGGCGCCTACGCAGCAGCTGTACACCGCGCTGTCCAGGGTCTGCGCACCGCGCACCGTCAGGGTGTGCGTGTCCCCCAGGCTGGCCGTCTGGTGCCGCTTGCTACGGCGAATCTCCACGCCGTCCTTGAGCCATGTCACCGCAGCCACAGAGGGTGCGGCCAGCGTGGCAGTCAGGACGATGTCCTCGTGTTCTTTGACCACCAGAAGCCCCCTGCGGTCGGGTCTCTCCAGGGCTGGGGACTCAGGCTCTGGCTCTGGGGTGCAGAGGGAAGGAGCAGGAGGGTTAGTCATCAAGAAAGTGGGGACCCTGCTTCCCTGGCCTGGTCCCTGCCTGCTTCGGGCCATACTATGGGAGAAGACCTAAAGTGGGACTGGCCCAAGCTCCAACTGCTATGCAACGCCTTGCTCACCCAGTCCTTGGCTGCTGCTTCCACTGAGCAAGCCCAAGAGGGAACGCCTCAGAGCGCCACACCCCCTGATGGCCACCATCCAGGCTCTCGGGGGCCATGAAGAGTGGCCAAGAGGAGTCAGCTGCAGGGGACCGCAGGCCTGGAGCCACAAGCTCTGTCTGACCAAGAGCCTAGAGGTTTCGATGCCTGCCCTCCAGGGAAGCCTGGGCCCAGGACAGAGGCTGAGAGGCTGTAACACCCTGAGTGCCTCAGCATGTGGGGGGAGTGCACAGCAGCACCAAAGGGGGAGGGGGAAAGCCCCAGAAGGGGCCCAAGAGGGTCCCTGTAAGAGCCCATCCAGGGGATCACCTGAACACAGGCCGGCTGTACCATGGGGGGCAGGTCGGCAAGGGGATGGGGGCTGTGTCCGCCAGCTCAAGACCAACACCTACAGCAGGACTCAGAAACCCAGAGATGCTGTCATCAGCTGGGGGCTATAAGGGACAGGCAGCACACCAGCAGGACCAGTGCCAGCCCTGGATGTGCCCCAGCAGAGGTCAGGTACCCCGGCTGACTTAACAATTGCATGACAGTCAGGAACCCAAGGCCAGTGATAGGGACCCAAACTCCACTGAGGAAAAAGGCATCCAAAGCCAGAGCCCCTCTGGTGAGGTTCTCCAGAGCAAGGCTGGACTCAGTACCTGCAAGGGGAGACTTAAAACAGAAAACTGTGTGCTCCAGGCCCAGACAGAGAATGCGCATTTCCACAGGCCTCAGCCATTAACAGCCTGTAGAAACCTCCAGGAAAGGTTCCATTCTGGGGAAGGTGAGGATGTGGAAACAAGGAGCAAAAATCTGGATAAAACAGGTCCACAATGCCTGGGACTATGGTCTTAGCCGAGGTCCTCAGTCACAAGAGCTCAGTAGAGGAAGAGGCCTGAGACAGGGCATGTCCATAGAAACCAACACTGGTGCAACCACAACGACAGCCTTGCACAGCATGTCAAGACAATGCCTGTCACTTGATTCCTCAGGTACTTGTTCTCTCTGCCCAGACAGGTACCCACCTGGGACATCTAGGCCCTCCAGCAGAGGGACTTCAGGCCATGAGGTGTGCACACACCCTCCCCAGGTGACCAAGTCTTTCCCGGTTGTGCAGGGACCATTCCCACCCAGCGAGGGACAGTTCCTGGGCTCCACCTCCCACCCGCACTCCCTGTGTCACCTGCTGGCCACCTAGGGCACTGAGCTGTGCCTCCTGAGCCTGTCTCTGCCATGGTTTGGATGACTCACAAAATGGTGGACCTTTGCTATGTTTTCGGTCTTTACTGTTTGCTCTTCTGCGGTGTGTCTGTTCATGGGCATTTTGGACACCATAATATTTCTCCCCACTCCCACCAAGTCTAATAATTTATCTTTTGCATAAGTCATATTATCAGAATTTCACTTCAGGTTTTTCACACTTTTGTATGTCTCACTTTATTTCCTGCTTTCCTGCTGACGACAGTGGTGACTGTGAACCCCGTTGCCTGGTCCCTGATCTCACAGGCACAGCTTTCAAGTGTCACTTAGTGTGATTAGCTGGTTTTCCTTCAGTGTCATTTATCAGAAGAAGGATGAACCGTTTTATTTCTAATTGGCTAAGAATCTGCGGCATGAAGAGATATTGATAAACTATTTCTTCCACACTTCTGACATTAAATGTTATCAAACTCAACTCTGCATTGATGAGGCGATCGCTTCATACTTTAGTTTCAATCTGCTCACGTCATGAGGTATGTTGATTTGCTGACCTTTGTAGTGCTCACACACCCGGGCCGTGTCTTTCATTATAGTGCATCGTCCTCTTAATACACTGCCGATTCATTTTGATACTACTTAGCTTCAGATTTCGGCCTTGGTCTCCACAATGCATTGGCCCACTATTTCCACTATCCCCGTCAGATGTTGGTGATAGATGCCATGCTGTTGCCGCATAATAAACCAGAGACTGTGTGTCCTTCTCTAGCTCTAGAAGGATCTCCATGAACATGCAATACTTTCCTTACGGAATAGTTCATATAATTTTCCAGTGGAGCCACTGGGGTGTCATCGTCACCTATAAGATCTTTTTTTTCCTTTTTTTTTTAAACTGTGGTTCCTTTTATTGAAACGGTTGTAGGACTATTTGAGCTGTCAAAATCGTATGCCACTTTTCATATAGTTTTCTAATAATCTGGTCAATTTCTCAAAACTTCTCAGATTTACTCCTACAAAATAATTTGTCATATTCTCCTATAGTAGCAATTACAAATGTTTGGTTTTGTTTTGTTTTTTTTTTTGTATCTATACACACCCACAAGCTGTTGTACACACTTATAACACCAAACTGTTAGTTGGAGGCACCTGGATGTCGAATTGAGGTTAAAACTCTCCTCACTAAATGAAAATAGTTAGTTCACAGACATCTCTGTGAACACCATGGACAGGGACAAATACACATGTGTCCTTAGGAAATACTATGACATAAATACTGACTCAACAGTTAAGGGCTATCGCTATAGTTACTTGTCTTCAACAAGGCATGCAGTGTGGGAGAAGCTCCTGATTCCTCTCCATGTCCAAATCTGGTATACATCAGAGTCCCAGGGGATTCTGACACAGGACTCAAAAAGAAACCGAGATGTACTTTAGGAGGAGAATTCCAGACCTCACAGGTACAGGACCCCGACACACACGTGCCAATCCTCTGGTCTCTGTGTACTTTTTTGCACAGATCTTGCAAGAAAACACGGATCTAGATTTTGCGACAAGTGAGGATCCAGTAACTTCTCCATCCACATGCAAAGGAGTGCCCTAAGAAACTACAATTTGCTACCACACTGTTCAGTCTGAGATGGATCCAAGTAAGATTGGGTGGCAGCAACTTCCCCACATTCTGTTGTAATGAAATTCAAACGTGTCTCTGCCCGTGTTGCTGGCTGTGGGCATTTGGGAGCTACCAGGACTTGGGGAGTAGGAAATTCACATAACACAGGTAAGAGACGTCTGGTCTACCTCAGACTCCACGTGAAAGGTAGAGCCCGAGTTCCGGCTGGAGAGGGGCACCCAGAAGTCTCTGGCAGGTGCTGGGAACTATGACTGAGCAAAACCTGAGCACCACTCAGCGTGTACAGGAAGACCTCTCCCTTCTGCTCACACTTTGCCCACCCAGCCTGGTCTGGCCCCACCACTGGGATGATATGGGAGATGGAGGATAGAAGGCTAAAGAGGTGAGGTCCAGTGGAAAGAGCCCCAGGTGTGTCCGGCTGTAGTCATTACCTACACACAAGGCTAAGTTAGTGCCACCAAAGAACCGACCTGGGACATCTAGGTTGAAGGTGACCTTCTGGCCCCCGGCCTCGCAGGTGTACTCCCCGCTGTCCCCCTTCGCCGCCTGCTGCAGCACCAGCCGCCGGGTGCAGCCCGTGGCCTCCACGCGCACTTTCGAGCTCCCGCTCAGCTTCTTGCCATCCTTGTACCACGTCACCTGCGTCTGAGCCTGGGCCACCTCGCAGCTCAGCGTGGCACTGGCCCCGGCCGTGGCCTTCACCTCGCTGTGTGCCGACTGCTCCTTGGCAAACACCACCGTGGGCTCTGGGGACAGGGAGGGATGCACAGGGTCAAAGATATTTTCTAAATCACGAGGACAGCACTGGGGAAGGAAGGACTAAGCAGGGACGTGGCAGGACGGGAAAATTCTCAAGGTTCTGTGTGACCCGCAGAAGCCCCAGCACCTTCTCAGCACAAGTAGCTCATTCATCTGCACATGGACCACTGCCCAGGGAGCGGTCCCAGCTGGAGACACCGTGAAGGACTTCTCCGGAGCACACACCCTCCAGCAGAGGGACTTCAGGCCATGAGGTGTGCACACACCCTCCCCAGGTGACCAAGTCTTTCCCGGTTGTGCAGGGACCATTCCCACCCAGCGAGGGACAGTTCCTGGGCTCCACCTCCCACCCGCACTCCCTGTGTCACCTGCTGGCCACCTAGGGCACTGAGCTGTGCCTCCTGAGCCTGTCTCTGCCATGGTTTGGATGACTCACAAAGTGGTGGACCTTTGCTATGTTTTCGGTCTTTACTGTTTGCTCTTCTGCGGTGTGTCTGTTCATGGGCATTTTGGACACCATAATTCTCCCCACTCACTCACCACTTTATTTCCTGCTTTCCTGCTGACGACAGTGGTGACTGTGAACCCCGTTGCCTGGTCCCTGATCTCACAGGCACAGCCAAGTGTCACTATTATCGGAATTTCACTTCAGGTTTTTCACACTTTTGTATGTCTCACTTTATTTCCTGCTTTCCTGCTGACGACAGTGGTGACTGTGAACCCCGTTGCCTGGTCCCTGATCTCACAGGCACAGCTTTCAAGTGTCACTTAGTGTGATTAGCTGGTTTTCCTTCAGTGTCATTTATCAGAAGAAGGATGAACCGTTTTATTTCTAATTGGCTAAGAATCTGCGGCATGAAGAGATATTGATAAACTATTTCTTCCACACTTCTGACATTAAATGTTATCAAACTCAACTCTGCATTGATGAGGCGATCGCTTCATACTTTAGTTTCAATCTGCTCACGTCATGAGGTATGTTGATTTGCTGACCTTTGTAGTGCTCACACACCCGGGCCGTGTCTTTCATTATAGTGCATCGTCCTCTTAATACACTGCCGATTCATTTTGATACTACTTAGCTTCAGATTTCGGCCTTGGTCTCCACAATGCATTGGCCCACTATTTCCACTATCCCCGTCAGATGTTGGTGATAGATGCCATGCTGTTGCCGCATAATAAACCAGAGACTGTGTGTCCTTCTCTAGCTCTAGAAGGATCTCCATGAACATGCAATACTTTCCTTACGGAATAGTTCATATAATTTTCCAGTGGAGCCACTGGGGTGTCATTCGTCACCTATAAGATCTTTTTTTTCCTTTTTTTTTTAAACTGTGGTTCCTTTTATTGAAACGGTTGTAGGACTATTTGAGCTGTCAAAATCGTATGCCACTTTTCATATAGTTTTCTAATAATCTGGTCAATTTCTCAAAACTTCTCAGATTTATGCCTACAAAATAATTTGTCATATTCTTCTATAGTAGCAATTACAAATGTTTGGTTTTGTTTTGTGTTTTTTTTTGTATCTATACACACCCACAAGCTGTTGTACACACTTATAACACCAAACTGTTAGTTGGAGGCACCTGGATGTCGAATTGAGGTTAAAACTCTCCTCACTAATTATCAATAGTTAGTTCACAGACATCTCTGTGAACACCATGGACAGGGACAAATACACATGTGTCCTTAGGAAATACTATGACATAAATACTGACTCAACAGTTAAGGGCTATCGCTATAGTTACTTGTCTTCAACAAGGCATGCAGTGTGGGAGAAGCTCCTGATTCCTCTCCATGTCCAAATCTGGTATACATCAGAGTCCCAGGGGATTCTGACACAGGACTCAAAAAGAAACCGAGATGTACTTTAGGAGGAGAATTCCAGACCTCACAGGTACAGGACCCCGACACACACGTGCCAATCCTCTGGTCTCTGTGTACTAAAAAAAATAGAAGCAGGGGCATAGAAAGGGAATGGACTGATAATTCTTGGGGGGAAGGAGGTGTGGGGGGTGTGGGAAGAGACTGGACAAAAATCTTACACCTATGGATGAGGACAGTGGTAGGGGGTAAGGGCATGGGGTGGGGTGGGAACCTGGTGGAGGGGAGATATGGTGGAAAAAGAGGAACATCTGTAATAATCTGAACAATAAAAGATTTATTAATTTAAAAAACAAATTAAAAAAATAAATAAAAGTTAAAACTCAAAAAAAATAAAATAAAATAAAATAAAACTCTCCTCACTAAATGAAAATAGTTAGTTCAC